AGAGAGACAGATGGAGGGAGGGGGAGGGAGAGAGAGGGAGAGGGAGAGAATGAATCCCAAAGAGGCTCAGTGTGGTCAGCGCGGAGCCAGACACAGGACTTGAACTCACGAACTGTGAGATCACGGCCTGAACCGAGATCAAGAGTCAGACTCTCAACCGACCGAGCCACCCAGGCGCCCCTCAACTCTACATTCTTTTCAAGTGCGTTCACGCTCTGTCGAACACATGCACACGAGACAGTTCTAGAAAGAAACCAGTGCACCAGAGGCAGCTGCCCATGAGCGTGCCTACCTGCTTCAGCCTGTCGTAGTCTAGCCCCTCTGTCTGGACGCCGTTGGCACTGGGCTGCGACGAAGGTGCAGATTTTGGTCTGTACAAACAGAATTTCCAGGACAGGTAAACGACACTCAGGATGTTTAAGAAGTCCACAAAAAACTGCAAATTTACCAACCCAACACCAGATTTAAGTCCTTTTCTTAAAACACGCCGTGTTAACAAGTTAATTGTCAAAGTTGCAGGACCGACTGGAACATAAAGCGGAAAGTATTTCTCACGGGACTCAGCGTTTCCAGCCGTAAATGGTCTCAGTAAAGAGACCAGGCAACGCGATGGGACCGCGGCGCTTCTTCCGGCAGGAGCGGAGGAGCGCGTGCTCCGGGCAGGGGCTGGAGCGAGGCCGCGTGCGACACAGTCTCGTTCTTCTAAAACCATGCGGTGCCCACTAAACGTCTGGCGAACCGACCCCTAATGTGAATCGGTTTGCAAATCCCGTGCCTTGGTTTTGGGCCGAAAAACACTTTCCTGATGAAGTTTTTACGGAGATGTCATCTGAACAGCGTGTTTCCAGCTAACTACTTCCACAAACTTATTTTGTTCGTTCGTTCGTTTTAAAAGGAAATGCCACACAGAAGCAGACTGCCAACTAGGACTACACTTTTGGAACGCGAGGCTCTACTAAAACTTCTACGTGAAGAACTAAGTCTTAGAAATCGGGTATTTTAAACAACAGTTTCAGTATCAAATAAACCAGTCCTGTCTCCTCTCCAACTCTGGCAACCAGAGAGAAGGCCAGGGGAAAACCTGGAGTTTTACTGGGCGTTCACCCAGGTGCTGGTTAGCTTGGTAAAGTGGCCACGCTCTGAGGGCCACACATCGATGCAGATGCAGACTAGTAGTCAAGTCACATATCATCAAGTTCGCGGAGGACCAACGTCACAAATCTGCACCAGGACTCGGTACCCATCACTTTGCGAAGCCTCTTACCAGGCTTATCATCCTCTAAACCCGTAGACGCTGGTCGTGAAGATGAACTATTGAGTTACTTTGCTTTCATATCCAACATACGACTGCTTAAAAGGCTGGGAGGGAGCAAGTCGACCGATTTGGTATCGTTAGGCGGCCGCCGCTCTGCCCCTAGGAACAAGGGAAATAATACCTTTCCGAGAACTCCCCTCAGTAAGGACTGAGCTGGGCCGGGGAGAAGATTTACAGGACACAGCTCCTTTCCCCTGGGAGGGGACGGACCCCTTTACACTTCGCCGAGGGGACTGCTGAATCCCCTAGTCACCGAGGGCGTGCAGATCCGCGGCAGGGAAGGCAGGGGTTCCCTGCAGAGCCCCAACTAGTGAAAACCCTTAATGGCCGACAGACACACTGTGTGCATTTCCCTTCCCCACGCTGTCTGCTCCTGCTCGTCGAGTTACACTGTTAATTCCTCTGCTTTTCTTTTACTCTTTACATTGAGGTGGTACAACCAGCAAATTCTTTCCTCCTTAGTTCTATAATGAATATCCCCTGACGTTCATATGAGTGCCTACAGCCTGCTAATTAACTGGGCGGTATGTTATGACTATATCCATATTTATTAAATAATACAAAGCATTATACAATAAACGATTGAGGAAACATGCAATTAAGAAATTTTCATTCATGCTAACATGCAACCCACCACCACCACCACCACCACCATCACCATCACCACCCCCAGCCCCATCACCATGATAATTAACTAAAGGGGGGAACTTTTCATACTGAAGGAAAGAAGTAATCACCACTTTAAAAAAAAAAAGGTTTATCAACCTTCTATTGGGGGGGGGGCTCTACGTGGGAAAGCAGCAAGATAATGGAGAAGAATAACGACAGAAAATCTCATTAAATGCTCTTTTTCTCTCTTACGTACTAGCAAATTTTCTAAGTCTTTTGGTTACAACGATTAAACCACCTCAAAAAAAAAAAAAAGCAGGAAAAATGATTTCACACTTGTGATATAAACATTTTATGCAGGTTTAACTGGCTGACAAACTTTAAATCTTTTCAGCATCAACAGCATGAAAATAATTTTAGCTAGTATCAATTTGGCCGAATACAATCTGATTGCAGAACTTCTAAGTCACCGCCAGGGACACCCCTCTGTATACTATTTAAGTCACGTTCCCAGTAGACTTGATGTGAATTTAAAAACAGGTGCATATAATAACATGGGCAGATCTCGGTTATTTCTAACCCATGGATTCTCACTGAAAATTGATAACAAAACGAGGTTTCCCAGAGGTTTTTGTGTTACCTCTGGATACCTGCCTATAAAATAAGTACTATAATATTTAAGTCCCTATTCTGCCAAATTAATTCGAAATATTGTGTAAGCACTTGAGGATTTTTAAAAATTGTCAACTTTTTAATTAAAAAATATGAAATGCGCGGTTCTTCTCTTAACTTTAGTAATGGAAAAAAAATGGTATAACAGGACTTATCCTAGAGAACAATCTGCTCGGGATGTTAGATGTCAGATTGTTAAAGACACTCAAGTACGTAGGAGACAGAGATTTTCCTCAAAGTGTAAATTTTTCACAATTGCGGCTGTAATAAAGTCTCGTGCTCCACCGACAAACAGTAAGAAATCTTCTGCTCCACCTTTTAAAGGTTTTGTCTCCTACTTCTATGGAGAACAGCCTTTCGAAGAAAATGCACAAGCTACCAAGAGCCTGGAGAAAACACAGGGACCGAGACCCCTATCATGGCCCTGCGGACGTGTGCCCCGCTGCTGTTTATCCCCAGCCAACTACAGAGTGATGGTAGGGGGGTGAATACTATTAACTTTTCTAATTATAATCTCTTAGAGTTTTTAAAAAACTCTAAATAAAGCTAAATGTGAAAGGTCTGACCTTCCCAAGTATCCCCCTCGTGGTGATTACCAGTCCAGGTAGAAAAAGCTCAGCCCTGCCCTGAACGTGTCAGTTAAAAGTCTCAAATCACAAAGTCACATCAGGGTGATACCTGTGTAATGAATCATAGGACCTGTTGTCAAAAACAATCTGATTTTTCCTTGGAGAATCCCGTCTATGAAGGGGAAAAACCATTTAAAGGGAAATACAATAGAAAACTTTTAAAAAGTAATTCTCATGAGGTTACCGTTTTATAGGTTTGCAGTCACAGCAAAAACAATTAAAGGAGTCCATTACCCTTAAAACAATCATTTTTTTCCAGTCCAGAAGACGGTATCTGGACACAAACTCTATCTACAGTCACGTGAGGTCACTCCCTCTACTTGATGACTGAGGACAGAAAGGGGACAGACGTGCGCTGACCCTCTGTACAGACAGCACACATGCAGACACAGTAAAAGCTGCCCACGCCGAGTATCGCAAGTACCAAGACCCAATAAAAACCACCGCCGCTTTAAGTATACACAAATCAACTCTTCTGGAAGAGCACGTAAACAACTTTTCTTCTACCTTGAATGTAAGATCTGTGAGCTCTTACTGAAAACCACAGGAAGAACTCACAAAGGTTCCAATGGTACATTCCAGCCACAGTCTGAAGTATTCGAACACTCTTGCTTTCACTCTACTATCCGAGGTCTTCACTCAGCGACTACAGCACAGGGCACTATCTGGCGTGTGTTGTAAGGTATTAACCCACCTTACCACTGACGTAACTTCGACAGGGATATTCATGACAGAAAGGGGTACTTTCACTGCCCTGCAAAGGTGAGGTGCACTTAAATAAAAACGTGAAGTGGCCAATACACTGGCTCTCAGAAGGAACAGGGGAGGAAACGGGCAGAAAAGCAATAGAGTTCTGAGTCTCTCAGACATACTTCTAAAACCCTCTTAGGGCTTAAAACTGCTTGTGGTGACATTTTAAGGCAGGAATCACTGGCTGGATCAAATCCATTAAAAGGTGTATGAATGGTCAGGAAACAACAGACAGTTTCACAATTTCCATTTCAGGAAAGGAGAAGCAAGCCATCCACCAGAGCAGAACACGATTACGACACACTCCTGAGTAACAGGATCCAGTGTTTGGTGACTCGACAGAAAACTCCTTTTCTTAACGTGATTTTCAGAACACTTCCTTAACTTCCTTTAGAAATCTGAAAACTCTTTCAAAGAATTCTCTTTAAACTTGTTTTACTGTTTATTTATTTTTGGGAGAGAGAGAACGAGCTGGGGAAGGGCAGAGAGTCTGACTGGGGGCTCGAACTCACAAACTGTGAGATCATGACCTAAGCTGAAGTCGGACGCTTCACCGACTGAGTCCCCCAGGCGCCCCTCAAAGAGATTTTTTAAATGAACCCAAACACGGGGCGCCTGGGTGGCGCAGTCGGTTAAGCATCCGACTTCAGCCAGGTCACGATCTCGCGGTCCGTGAGTTCGAGCCCCGCGTCAGGCTCTGGGCTGATGGCTCGGAGCCTGGAGCCTGTTTCCGATTCTGTGTCTCCCTCTCTCTCTGCCCCTCCCCCGTTCATGCTCTGTCTCTCTCTGTCCCAAAAATAAATAAACGTTGAAAAAAAAAAAAAATTTAAAAAAATAAATAAATAAATAAATGAACCCAAACACATCGAGGAACCTCCTGTGTTTGGAGAACCTCTCCCAGGTCCCTCCCGAGATACCCCTTCCGGCGTGGACTTGGGATTAGCTTCAGGCAAGCGCAGCAGGGAACCCTTGTCACTAAGGTGGGGACGAGGACTAGACGAGGAGAGAAGGAATTCTAGCCCGCCGCACTTCAACCTTCAACAGACACACAGGACACCACCGTTCTGGTCTCTGGGACACACTGGATAAACTGAGCTTCAAGACGTGCTCGTGAAGAAAAGCCATGCAAACTCCCAGGGACGCGCTGGAAGGCCCTATCAGTCAGGTTATCTGATAAACACCAATCTTTCTACTCTACTGAAAACACGGCCACAAAAGCAATTCCTGCATTTTTTCCGAAAGTCAGATACACTCATCTTTCAGTCACAGAGAAACCAGAAGATTCTATACATTGAAAAAGGCTCCGTTTCTTGGCGGAACTCACGTAATTGTGCCACTGCCCCGTCTCTGCCGGCACAGAGAGCCCAGAGAAACACACCCAAATTTACGATCAGGCTGATATGGGACAGATCTGTGGCGGGGGCGGGGGCGGAGGGGGGGGGGGCGGGGTGTCTATCCTCGAATTTTTCCCTGTTTAGGTTTCTATCATTAGAGTCAAGTCTGCTTTTTAAGAGGCAAAAATAAGGCAAATAAGGCCAGAAAGAAAAGGCAAAAAACTGTTTGGTCCCGAGACACATACTTTTTTCTGGAAAAAAAAAAACCCCAAAAAACAAAAACAGAAGTCCTTTAAACTGTCTCAGAAATCAAGGGAAAGTCTCATCTATGTTCAAGACCTGTGATACAAATTAGTTATGACAACAAAACACGCCCAGCTAAGAAATGCTGTTTGCTAAGACCACGCCTCGTGGCCCGGGATAAACAAGGTTAACCGGTCTTGTTTCTGGGCACTTTTTCTAAGTTGACTATAATTAAAGTTTCAACTGAGAGGGAAATCAATCTTTTTACTTCACAAATTCAGAACTTCAGGTTTTATTTTGCTCTTTCTTAAACACTAAATGAAGGATGTCACTGAGACTAATGGGGAAATGTGACTATGTCACATCACATCATGGCTCAATGTTAACTTTCTTGCAAGCGAGAACGGTACTAGGGTTCCGCAGGAGGACAGCCTGCTCCTCAGGGAAAATGCAGAAGGATGAAGGATTCAGGATGAAGCAAATTTGCAAACTGCTTTCCAGAACTCCAGAGAAACAAGCATGGATGTGTAAATAGGAGCTCAAAGCCAATGTGGCAAAACTAGGAACTGGGGAGTCTGGACGATGGGCATACGGTGTTTGCTCTTCTCTCGACTTTTCTGTAGTTTTGAATTCTTCAAAATAAAACCGTTCGGAAGGACCAAAGCAATCTCAAAATTTCAGACAACTGGCTAACAATAAGCATACGGTGGGGTCCAGACAATCACTAGGAAGAATAGAATGTGCTCAGTGGTTTCCAAGAGCAGTAGGATTACAGGTTTTATTTGCTCCTTTGCACACTCAAATCCACCATTTGATTTTTCCTACAATGGAAATGTAGCCGCTAACCACGTGTAAATGTGAACCTTAGAGAACACAGGTACCTGGAGATGACAGGTGACTTGCTGCCATTCACTGTATTCGCTCTTTCCCAAGGTTTTCTTGCTGGTTCTTAAAAATATGGAACATAAGTTATTAAATACCTTATGTGCTCCCAGAGTTACTGTGAAACAAATAACAAAATCCTAGACGCCACTATACATGTTCAGGCAGTAATACAAATAAACAAAAAATTTTTCATTTCAATTCTGAGCTTTAATTAAAATCTGTAAGGATTCTGGGCGCCTGGGGGGCTCAGTCTGCTGAGCGTCTGACTTCAGCTCAGATCATGATCTCACGGTCCATGAGTTCAAGCCTCACGTGGGCTCTGGGCTGACAGCTCCGAGCCTGGAGCCTGGCTTCGGATCCTGTGTCTCTCTCTCTCTCTCTCCCCCCCCCCCCCTTGCTTGTGCCCTGTCTCTCTCTCTCGCTCTCAAAAGCAAACATTAAAAAACTGTTTTTAAAAGTAAAATCTGGGGCGCCTGGGTGGCGCAGTCGGTTAAGCGTCCGACTTCAGCCAGGTCACGATCTCACGGTCCGTGGGTTCGAGCCCCGCGTCGGGCTCTGGGCTGATGGCTCAGAGCCTGGAGCCTGTTTCCGATTCTGTGTCTCCCTCTCTCTCTGCCCCTCCCCCGTTCATGCTGTCTCACTCTGTCCCAAAAATAAATAAAAAAAAAAACGTTGGGAAAAAAAAAAAATTAAAAAAAAAAAAAAAGTAAAATCTATAAGGATTCTAATTTGTATAACCTCAGACCTTAAAACAGGAAGAAATGAATAAGCAAGTGTGACCAGCCCCCCCTAGGAAAACTGCAGACTGTGAAATGTAAAACAGTGTATGTCTGCACGCCAGGGGCTAAAAGTCTAATGAGCAGGGCTCCCTATGGGATGAGGAATTCTTGGCTTGGCGGTCTATAGACATGCCTCAGGGAACATGCAAATGAACTATGAACACGTTTGTATAAAAATACAGTCGGCCACCCCTTCTCATTGGGGGTGGGAGGATTCACAGCTCCTTTCACCTTGTGAACAGCTCTGGGACCCTAACTTACAGTGGAGCTCTGAAGAATCTGTGCTCTTGGTAACAACATACATATAAATTTTGGCTTATGGAAGAAAGATAAAGTTATTACAGTAAGTGGTTCACAAACAGAGGATTTTTAAGGAAGGCAATGTCAAAGTGATCTGAGTCCTATTTAGAGGAAAAACAATTTACAAAGTCACAGTCTTAACTACAAGATAGCTATCGAAGTACCGAATAGTCACCATCCAATAATGAGAATATGAGACTATTGTTGGGTTTTTTGGAGAATGGGTTACAATCACAAAAATGGAAATTTTTTAGGATTTCTAAATAGTGCAATTCTAGAGGTCGCTGGTAGTCTCCAAATCAAAACGAGTAGGAATGAACATGGACATTTCTCTGCAGTGATTACTTATGGGTCATTCAAGATAGTAATTCATTGAAATCATCAAATTTATTCATGTTGCTTTATTCCAAATTAGATAAAAAAGCTGAAGAGACAGTCCAGCTCTTTGTCTTTTGGTCAAACACAAGGAAATGACACGTAAAACATGAGAGCCTCACATCCTAGGCACGGACACCGCGCTCGTGCAGTGCCCGCAGTGACAGGTGGTTTATTTGTATTCTGCATGAAATACTCTCCACCCAAGATTTCTCCACATCAGAAACTGCACTGAATTCAACAACGCTTTTCAAAGACTTTAACGAGATTTTCCTTTACCTTACAAATTAGAAGCTTTACTTCCTTATCAGTACCACCCAAATGCATGGTTAAAATGACAATGCTCTCTAGTTGAGAACGTTTTGAGATGGATGCTAGTACTAATAACTACAGACTCACTTAATCTTTTTTTTTCATTAATGTTTTTTAAGGTTTATTTTTGAGAGAGAAAGAGACAGAAAGAGAGAAACGGAGCACGAGCAGAGGAGGGGTAGAGAGAGAGGGAGACACAGAACCGGAAGCAGGTTCCAGGCTCTGAGCTGTCAGCACAGAGTCGGACGCGGGGCTTGAACCCACGAACAGTGAGATCGTGACCTGAGCCGAGGTCAGCTGCTCAACCAACTGAGCCATCCAGGCGCCCCTCACTTAATCTTTACCTTTAAGAATCAATGATTAAAGATACTTCCCTTTCATCTATGTATATTTCCTTGCTTTAGCAAATAACTTCAAATCATTAACAGTAGTACACACGGAATGTGTTACGAATTATGATTTTCAAAGAAAGAATCACCAGAAAAAATCTTCAGGTTTTAACGGATCTCCCAATATCACAGAGGCAGAGGAAAAACAAGTCATTGCTTCTGAGCATGAACGAAACACTTTTAACATTTTCGTGGCCAAGCAGGTACTTGGTCCAAACATGGGTAAAGGGGAATTTTTAATTGAGGGGCGTTAGTATTTTGAGAAGGTTCTCAAAGGTTGAAATAGATCTCCTAAACTTACCGGGTGTACTTGTCGACGAGGCCTTAGAAGTGACGGGCTCGGAATCTTCCTAAACATACAGAAACTCGTATTAACCACACCACATCTGCTAGAATAACCCGGGGCACAGACTCAGTGCCGCACTCTCCTCCGCCTCCAGTCCCTTCTGGTGCGCTGCCCGCCGTGTCTTTTGTCAGCCTCCTGCCCCTCCCGTTCCAGCACAGACTGTCCTCCTCTGCCCCAACTCCCCTCCCCGGGTCCTGTCCTCGAGCACCCTCCCTGAGCGGCACCAGCCACCAAGACAGAGCCAGATGTCACAGACGGGTCGGGGTAATGGCACGGAATACCAAACTCGGGGGGGGCGGCGGGGGAGAACACCTGTACTGCTCAGACACCGGGGCACCAGGCAGATAAAGCCCGGCTGACATGGGGAGGGAGGACGGGGCACAGCCCAGAACCATAGGGAAACAGTTCAAAACCAGGATTCAGTCTAATTCCTTCGTTTTCAACAGCAGGTAACTGAGACCCTAAGAGATTTTAAAGCTCAAGTGAAAGGTCATTCTCTCACCTAAGGTACAGCACTTACTCTACAGGTTAGAATTCAGTCCTTTCCCCACAAACTCAACCCATCTTACGAAGAATGCTAGTAAACATTTATACGTGAGGCTCCAAACAAGCCATCTGTTGTACGTGAAGGACCGAAAGAAGCAGTGACAGATTCCAACTAATCTCCAACACCGTCTCCCGAAGGAGCTCCGCTGGCTCTCGTGCCCCAGCCAGGCAGACTCTTCATGAACTCACGTGTTTGTCCTCTTTCTGTTCGGTGTCTATCGTTGATCCCTTTTCAGCAATTCTTCTCCTAGAAAGAGGGTAAGTCAGATTGTTAAAAAATTCATCTAACTCTTAGCAGAACAACTACTTCTCCAGAGGGGAAGAACTGTGCCCGGCTCAATTACAGCTGAATGAAACGAACACAACCCTCTCAATCGTGACCACATTCACGTAACTCCTCGCTTACCTCCTGGCCAGCAGGGCGCTCATCTCCTCCATCAGCCCGCTGCCCCCTAACGGGAGGGGTCCGTTCCCGCGACCCGTGTCTGATTTGGACAAGGCCGGGTTCGCGCCGATGGTGCTCCCTCCACTCGGGAAAGAGGCATCCTCCACCTTAATGAGAATAGACACACGGTGAGCCCCTACGTTAGACGACCTGAGCGTTACATTCAAAACAGAAGGAAGACTTAATTTCGATACAAACATCTGAGTATTATTTGTAAAACCTTTTAAAGAACCTATGGAGTGAATGGCGTGGATTTACATAAATCGGTGGAAGTTTCATCAAAGTTAACGTCAACAGTAATGGGATAAAACAGGATAGAAAATAATGGGATAAGACATGTCTCCCTGTTCGATACACTGACAAGGACATACACTTTGGGAGGGGGGAAAAAAAGGGTAACCTGCCCCAGAATGCATAATACAATGAGGAAACCTATCAGGGAAACCAAACTGAAGGATGAGCCACAAAATCAGTGCTTTGCAGACGTCAGCAACGTCAACGTCGTGTAAGAAACACTGAGGGGCTGACACAGATTACAGCATACTCGGGACATCACGACGAGATGGGACTCCAGGATCTTGGGCTAGAAAAGTGGTGGAAAAGACATCACTGACCCCAGATGCAATCTGAGTAGGTCTGTAGATTGTTAACAGCCCATCGATCCAGCTTCCTGACTCTGATCATTCTACAGTGGACACACAGGTGCATGTCCCTGTCCCTACAAAGCAGGATTTACGGACACTGTGGAGTGGTGTGTCTGACAAAAGGGGAGGGTATTGTGTTCGCCCAGAAGGAAACACAAACACACGGAAAAATCAAAGCAGATACTGTAAGCGGTGAGTCTGGGCGATGGGTTCACAGAAACCGCACTCTCTCAACTGTTCTGAAGTATAAATTATCTCAAATTTTTCAGTCAATGAAGTTCGTGAAAGTAGAATACGGTAAACTCGGTACTTGAGTCGCTGAGAAAAGGACAGGACACACACACAGAAAAGGGGACACTCGGAAACGCATTTACCCGGGACACTTTCCTCAGTTTTGCTCCAGCAATCGCAGCGGCAAGTCCAGTCAACGGGCGATTGTCTTCAGACACTGATCCCGCAAAAAATCCAGATGCGGGGAGTGGGGGCGCGGGAGGGGGCGGAGGAGGGGGGGGGACCTGGTTGGGAAGGGGGGGCGGGGGCGGTGGGGGCGGTGGCCCCGCTGCGGGGAGCGGAGGAGGGGGCGGCGGCCCCGGGTGGGGGGGCGGTGCTGCGGCGGCCGGGGCGGGGCCGGGTGGGAGCGGCGGTGGGGGCGGAGGTGCGGGTGGTCCCAAGACACCGCCTGCAGGAGAGAGACGTTAGACAGCCGGTCAACGGGGCGCCGCGCAGTACCCTCTTTGGGAAGCGGTGCAGGACGCCACCGCCTCCAACTCTCACTACTGTTCGTGAGCTCCGCTTAGCACAATGTTAAAGTCTGGATCGGGGTGAAAAAGATACTAAATTGTAAAGCCAAAATAGAGGACTTCTTACTTTGGATTTTTGGGTGTTCCCGGGATTTGGTAAATAAAATAAGTGCTCGCAAAATCTGCGCCTGGGGCAGCGTCCCCGAAAACAAGCTAGTGTATGTGAGGGCGGTTAGTAAGGCCTGAAGAAACAGACCCAAAGTCGTCTGCGTGCACCCCCAAAGGTTGAGACGGTAAGTCTGCAGCGGTGGAGACACTGCCTGTGCCGACTGAGACCATGAGAGGGCGTGGGTCCCCATTCCAGTATCTTACGCATGTCCCACACTTAAATCCAGGGTGCACAGAATCACCGAAATGAAGGAATCTACTAGAACAAAGCGCAACCTCAAAACAACCAGAAGTAATTAAAGGATCCGGAATTGGAAGTAGAGAGGTTTTTTTAGTCTAGAAGACAGGGGAAGAGAGAAACGTCTCCACGTCTAGTAAAACCACAGAGAGAGTGAACACGAACTTCTTTCGTATCAGAAGAATGACCTAGTAGGCACTCCCCTCTTGGAGAGTTTCAGGACAAATAAAATGCTATTTGCACAATGGGTGGGGATTTTCTGCAGCTGCTAACTGAGCACTGACTGAGCGGTTCACACAAGCTGAGAACACCAATGGCTCCTAGAAGAGCACAGAGCAGGGATGCCTCTCTTCCCGGGCAGTGGGCCCCGAGGGCGGGGGGGGGGGGGGGGGGGGGGGTGGCTGTCAGGTCAGGCTCACTGTGCCTCTCTGTCCAGCACTGTGGTCACATGTTACGCATCTGCACATACTAGAATTCTGGCTCAGTGTTTAAGCCAACTTGATAAGTCAACGAGAAAAAATATGTACACAGCAGTAACAAGTCTTATTACTTAAGAACCAAGATTTTTTGAAGGAGGTGTTTAATTTAAATCCAGACTGTAACACTGTTTCTTTATAAATACAAATCTGTCCTATTCCTTCCTTTACTTCCTGCTAAATCCTCTTTTTGAAAAAAAGAGTTGCTAAGCATCGTCTTTACTTCCAGAACCAGGTCCTCCTCTACTTACAAATAATCCACCCTCGGAAGGTCACATTCGCCCTCCCCCGTGACCATGACAGCACGGCTGGGCAAGGGGAGGGGGGCGGGAGGGATAACGGAGAGGATGCGTATTCCCTTCCAACCACCCCTTCAGCCCACCACTGCCTGTCACTCGGGAGCACGGAATCCACTGGGGCATACAGCAAGCCTGCCATTCTTCCCACCCCTTGTGCAAAGTCAGGCTGCCCCACAGGATTCAGGGTGCACCTACCCCCTCGAGTCCAATGTGGGAAGCCCAAATGAGACAGGGCCCACGACCGGAACTGTGCCAGAGCAGACTCTAGGATGATACGCTTAATGACTACAGCTGGGCACCAAGTCTATCCTCCAAATTTCCCACAAGTTAAAGGGACACAAGGGAGATCACATATTCACTGTGCAGACAAACGTGTAAGTAACGTCTTCCTAGTGAAATTGAAAAGATCTGTGTCGTGGGGGCCACCAGATCCCGGGGGCGGGCGCCCCCCCCCCGTGATCCTGTGGGAGACACCAAAGTCCCAATCGCTGTGGGAATTCCTCATATGGATCCTCCGAATGCAACCGATCCAGCAGATCACCTCACTTGTCGGCCACTTGTTCAAACTACAGACAGCGTGGCACGGTGACGGGAGGCCGTCCGCCTGGAGACACCACCCTCCCCGTCCTTCCAGGCAGTGACGGCCGCTGGCGCGCCACCTTTCGAGGGACGAGTCGTTAGCAGCAACGCGGAAGCCTTACCCTGTTGGGCTGGAGTCTCGGCCGGCTGAGAGGCTGCCTGCGAGCCTGGCTCAGAAGCAGAGGAGTCCCCCAGCACAGAGTTTAGAGGAGTCTCCGCAGGGGCAGGCGCAGGGGCAGCTGCAGAGGGAGAAGGGAGAACACTAGGCTTGGAGGAGGGAGTTGAGGCAATGGGGGTGCTTGGAGGAGGAGAGGCTTGAGATCCACAGTGTGAGCGCGGTGCGAGGGAAGGCGGCGGCGGCGGCGGCGCTGCTGGCCCTGAGGTAGGCGGCGGAGACACCGGACACGTGACAGAGTCAAGCGGCCCGTTGGGTGCTGTTGGTGACGGAGGCAGTGGGGGCACAGGAGAAGAAACACAGACAGGGAGGACAGGCCTCGGACCGGTCGCTTTGCCGGGGGGGCTGCTAATCATGACCGGAGGAGATGGAGGGAGGGGCGACACAGTGCAAGTAGACCAGGCACAGGGCTTCGCGGCTGGAGGCTGAGAAGAGGGTGTGTTCACGGGAGAAGAAGGCCGAGAGTTTTTGTTCAGAGGACGAGGAACCGTAGCGTAATGGGGAAGAACGGGGTGGAAGGCTGAGCCTACAGATGCTGCAAAACGTGTCGCCGAGTGCCGAAGAGGTGGTGTGGGGGGCGTGCAAGTAGGTGGCAAAGCGGTCACCACAGCATAGTCAGGACTGGCGTCTGACCCTGGAGCTGCGATGACTTTAGCATAGGATGGAGGAGGTGCCGCAGGAGGCTGGCAGCCGGCATACTCGGGCAGCGGCGCGCTATACGGGGAGCTGTCGGAGGGCGGAGCTGCGGGAAGGTGGGGAGCGGCAGCAGAGACGGGATAAAAAAGGAGAGAGAAAAAGGGAGCTAGTGAAGCCACAAAACCAGCACTCGGACACAGCGCACACACGCAGACCGCGGTTAGTCCCCGAGAACGCGCTCACTCGTCCATGCATCCTGAGACCCAGGGGAGGAGGACACGGGCTCGCTTTCCGTCTGGCGAGCGTACTGACACACGACATTGCTTACTTAGCTCATCTTTGGCAAGAAGAAGATTCTATCTCAAGTCTCACTATTCAGTCCACTAAACGGACATTCAAGTTACGTGAGTAGGACCACAAACAGAAGAGTAAGTCTGCTTGTTGTTTTACGAACAAATAGCGAAACTGGCAAAAAGTTTTACAAAGGGCTAAGGGCCCCCTGTTCGTGCTTATTTGTGGATAAGTTTTGTTTCTTTGGTTGGCTACAACCCCAGCAAATAACGAGGCAGTCTAGAACAAGTAAACTAGCTCAAACGACAACCCATCAACCACACTGAGACCTTGGATACAGGCCATATGGAATAGGAAAATAATTCTGAGATCCTATGACAGTAAATGTCAATTTTAGTGAACGTCTCAAACTGTGCTTTTTAACGCTTACATCTTTCGATAAATTCCATCCGATTTAGAAATTTTCACTAATTTTTTGCAGTACTAGAATACATGGAAGCCAGTCAGTTTTAGAGAGGGTACTTTTCGCCTACTATTCTGAATTCCTCCTTCAAGCACTTTAGAGCACAATCAAACAAAGTTCTTGAACAGGACAGGAGTCAGGACAATTTAAGCAACCTCGGGGGGCCGGGGGGGGGGCCGTGTTCTAAGTTCATCCAAAGTAAACACTTCCCACAAAAACACACTTGCACTTTACAGCCAATTTACAGGGAGTGAGAAGACTTGGAAAGCCGGGCGGCACGTTTCCGACTTTCTCAAGCCCCCGGCGCTAAGTGCAGTTAACACCGCGAGGGGGAAGGAGGCGGCAGAGCAACAAGTGCGGCCTGCTTCTCCGTGTCCCACTTGCTGCCCGCCCCCCACGCCGCCCCCGCCCGCACATGCACCCGCACGGAGCACGGCGCGCCCTTCTTACCGGCGGCCGACAGCCGGCGCTCCCGCTCGCGCTCCCACTCCAGCTGCTCCTGCCGCTCCAGCTGCTCCTGCCGCTCGCGCTGCTCCCGCTCCCGCTCGCGCTCGCGCTCGCGTTCCCGCTGCTCCTGCCGCTCGCGCTGCTCCCGCTCGCGCTGCTCCCGCTGCTCCCTCTCGCGGTCGAGCCGCTCCAGCCGCTCGCGCTCCAGCCGGTCCTGCCGCTCGCGCTCCCGCTCCAGCCGCTCGCGCTCCAGCTGCTCCTGCTCCAGCCGCTCCCGCTCCGCGCGCTCCACGCGCTCCCGCTCCACGCGCTCCCGCTCCAGCTCCTTCTGCCGCTGCTGTTCTTGCAGCTGCCTGGAATTCCGAGAGCAAAGCCATCAGAGCGGCGCGGCGACGGCCGCCGTCCTTAGAAGCCTACTCGCGAGGAGCCCGCGTGCGCCTCCCTTCCGATGCACAGGCGAAGCGAGCGGAGCCTGCCGTCCACGGCGGCCCGCACCACTTCCCAGCCTCACCGAGATGAGAGTAACTTAGCAGGGTCACTAGTAGCACACGACACTAACGGCTCATTTTAGTGTGCACTGTTCATGAGGGAAGTGCCACAAATAAATGAATTCTCCAAGTAACTGAGCGTACCACCGTAGTGACCAAGTCACTCTTTCGAATGTTCACGATACAATACGTCATCATTTTAGAAATACAACGGCCGGCGAGCCACGACAACAGCTCCGCCAAAGTTTGCTCCATTTATTTTTAAGCCGTTTCCCTACTGCTTCTGAAGGATCGCTACCGGCAGATTTGCTAGGAGAAAAGGCACACACATTTTAAGATTCTGGATACATGGCTCCAAACTGTTCAGGATTAGTGGCTGGGCTTCCCAGCAGCCCAAGGATACAGAGAACTTCCTTTCACCACTGGGGTCTTTCACTGCTGCTAATGCACGTGCTGTCAGTCACGTGACAGCTGGCCTCCTGGCCCCTGCAGCCTACTGGGACACAGCTGCCTGTGTCCTTTGATGGGTTTTCTCCCGGACAGTCAACATTCCATCCTCATTTGTAGAGCTCTTTTCTCTATTAAAGCTAACAGCCCATCGTCACAGATGTTGGTCGTATGCATTTTGAACTTTTATTACGGCTTTTTAACTGCCTTTGATTTTTCAAGTGTCATTTAAAACTGTAATATGTTAGATTTGTTAAAGCTGTAATACAGCTTTTAACTTTTACATAGAGAGTCTAGTGGTGGGATTCCTTCATGTGCTCTGCCTCTGACATCCCTCTTGGCCCCTTCCCACAAGATTATGGAATTACATGTTTTTACAACAAAATCCTTAGCTCATATGAAATTCATCTCGGGTCTGGGCACGCAGTAGTGAGCCACATCACTGTACCTTTACTGGCAGAAGATGCCACCTTTCTGTGTGTTGACTGTTTCTGAAATTCCACAACATTTGGTTCGTGGATGTTTGTCTAGAGTGGCACCAGTATGCCTGGACGTCTGGAAGAAACGATCTAGTAGGGTGCCTCCATCCTCATTCCTCATCCTTTTGAGTTTTTCTAGAGGATTCTCAGATACTTCGCTTTCTCTGGCTAAGTTTTAGAATCACTTTGTTAAATCTACCCCTTCTGCCAAGACCGATCCTTCTCGGTCCTAGTAACACTTTCTGAACTTTGAAGATCGATGGAAAACATTCATGTCTTTTAACCTCCTTGTCTAAGAATGTATGGAATGTCTCAGTATTTATGCAATTAAATTAAAAATCCCCTTCTTTCATGCTAGGACTTCAAATGCTGGCTGTGGAATCGCTGTGATTATATTAAAACCTACAGAGGCCCAATGTATGTGGCTGTGAAACATATAGCTTGCTTTTAACTTCCATACATACATATAACAGAGCAAGCAAAGGTCTCCAAGTACCCACCTGGACCCAAACAACAGTCTTGCCATAAAAGTTAACTTTCTCCAAATAAAAATACTCGGCCCCATCTTCTACATAATAATCTCATAGCACCGTGGGTAAGATTAAATGAAGTAATGCCTTGAAAGCTCTTTAAAAAGTGCCTGAAAGCATATGAACACTCAATAAATGTGAGCTATAATAATAATTGTTTGGAAATTTCAAATTAGGACTTTCCTTGGACTGGCTAATAGCCTGGCTGGGTTCCAATTAGAGGCAGAACTAACTGACAGAGGGTGTATGCTAATCTTTGTTCCTCCCAGCACTAGCAATAAACCACTAAGATTCTTCCAGAAATCTCTCCCCGTTTCCTAAACTGACTATAAAAGAGGAAAGAGCCCACTTGACAAGTGAACCAATCCCACTTCTGTCAGAAGAACCCGAAGCCTCCCTTGGGACAGGTCACCGGACTTGACAATATTGCAGGAGACGGGGTGCCTGGGGGGGCTCAGTCGGCTGACAGCTCAGAACCTGGAGCTGCTTCAGACTCTGTGTCCCCCTCTTTCTCTGTCCCTCCCCCACTCACGCGCGGTCTCTCAAAAATAAATAAATGCCAAAAAAATATTTTTTAAAAGAGAATATTGCAAGAGAGAAGCAGAAGAAACCTACGGCAGTGCTCAGGACAGGCAGTGGTGGAGACACTGGCTGGAACATAATAAATCAGAGTTTTAGGGCACAGTACTGACTTTGTTATGCTGCCGGACAACCGCTAACTGCCAAAGTTACGGAGGGTAGCAACATCGCTGCAGGGGTGAAGGCAAGAAATTCGGTGTACTCACAAGGATGTTTTCAATAATAAACTGGGTAGACAGAGTCGGTTCTTTTTGTAATACCTTCTAATAAATAAACTTGGCTGGGACGTACCATTAAACTTAAAACACAGTCTGTGTCAAAAAACAAGGGCATACGCTACAATGGAATCGTCTAAACAACCCATTGGTCCAAAAGGCGAAGAGACGCCCGCGTTATTCTAACCAGAGCGCATCTGCGTCCGGAAGCTGAGGGGAGGCATCTCAGGGCACGGAAGCTCACGGAGAAATGTGTGACGAAAGACCCAAGTCACGGGGCCCCTGCACGCTTCCGTGCCACCTCGTTCATTTTACTCCCGTCAAATAACGTGGGTGCGCGAAGCTTACTAACAAAACCAACAGATGACCGCTCCGACCTTTCCAGCCCTGGCTCCAACACCAGAGACCATTACTGCCAACTCTTTTTGGACGTTCCTTCTGTTTTCACTTTAGAGACTGCCTACCGACGCCTCCTGTGGGGCCCTCACCATACCCGGGGTCCCTAAGCACAGTCCCAGCAGAATAATGAGATCCATAATCAGAGTTTATGTCACTGACACAATAATGTAAATACTGTTCACGGCTAAACCATAGAGTATCCTAAAACTACACTGCATTTCTTTTTATTTATTTATTTAAAGTAATCTCTGCACCCACGGTGGGGCTGGAACTCATGACCCTGAGATCAAGAGTCGCATGCTCCACAGACTGAGCCAGCCGGGCGCCCCTCACTGCAGTTCTCATTCAAGTTCTCTGGGTTTTGATTGTTTGTTTGCTTGTTTTTACCTCCAAGTTAATGGCCACTTCTCCAGGCGACACAATGCTTTTATCACTAAAAGTAAGCTTAAGTCACAGGCAGAGGCCAGGTCTGAAGGATTACTGCATAATGGCATTTACAGCCAGGGAATCCTGACTTAAGATTATTCCACAGGCTATGATACTTATTCTAGGGTTCTCAGCCTATCAAAGATCAAGAGTATCTACTGATGTGGGAGAGGAGCACATTGCCAGATGGCTTCCCCACGATCACGGACACACGGGTGGAGGAGGCAGTTCACAAGCTGCAGAAGATTCCGCTGACCGCACAGTCTCTTGATTTGAAGGACGGACGGAAAGCGTTAAAAGCCCCTGGCTCATTTCTAGCCCGCTCACTGAAAAGATGCGCATCTAAATATATTTCCCAAAGTAGTGTGTCAACAAGAAAATCCCAGGCTTACAAATCTTTAGTAGTGTGAATAATTCTCACCTAAACGGGATGGCGAACAAACATGACATTCACACGTTTTGATCTCTAAAGCAGAACGTTTGTATTATCTTTTTGGGGGGCAGTTTCCAAATTTATAATCTCTGCTTTTCCCAGAAACACCACTCCCGACTCTCATACAGGAAACGCAGGGGACACCTCCTCCTAGAGCTGTGCTGCACGGTTTCTTCACTCTTTGCTAGAACCATCCGAGGACCTCTCCAAAGTACCTGGGCTCTAACCCTGAAGTACGCACAAATTCTGCCAGACTGATTTTTCTCTTAAGTTAGGATATGCATTTTACCATAATTTGAAAGTTTCTGAGAAAATGTACATTTTTCCAGAAACAATTACAGTGCAAAGGACCAATATCATAGCCACCAAGAGCATTTAAAAAACATCAAAAATAGTTCCTCCTACCACCCAAATACCCCCTTCCTCGAAAGAAGTCTCCCCAAATGTCAAGAGATGCCCAAAGCACTGGCCAACGGTGAGAGTAATCGTTTTTAAAAATATATTCAGACACGTATTTAGTTTATGTTGACCCAAAGACTATTTTTCTTAAAGTGAGCAAAATATAATGAAATTTAAAACCACATTTCGGGGGCGCCTGGGTGGCGCAGTCGGTTAAGCGTCCGACTTCAACCAGGTCACGATCTCGCGGTCCGGGAGTTCGAGCCCCGCATCGGGGTCTGTGCTGACGGCTCAGAGCCTGGAGCCTGTTTCCGATTCTGTGTCTCCCTCTCTCTGTGCCCCTCCCCCATTCATGCTCTGTCTCTCTCTGTCCCAAAAATAAACAAACTTTGAAAAAAAAAATTTAAAAAATAAATAAATAAATAAAACCACATTTCATACAGCCTTACCTATGATGAAGAGTGTTATTAGGTAGATAGAGAAATGATTTAAAGTCTGAGTTGACAACATTTAGTAACACTATGATGCTACCGACACTTGTCAGAAAATAAGACTACATACATCTTCCGATCACATCCCGTGGGTTATTCCACTTCTTCATTAGTAAGCAAATACAAAACGGACCAGATGAAAGCAGAGGACGCAGGTCTCAGTTACAGAGCCCCCGACACAGGCCCGTACTCACAGCAGCAGGCGGTCGACTCTGGGTCCATCCGGCCCCGGCCGGCTGACTGGGGGGCTGTACAACCGCATGGTTCCCGGCCTGCTCTGTGCTGGGACTACCAGGCCCTTTTATATCTTTCAGGTAGTGGTGCCCATTCGCTATTTATAGACATTAACTAAATTACATCCTATGTTGAGACTGAACACAGGACTGACTCATGTTTCTTAAATACGGTTTTCATCACAGTCAAAGAAGCCAGATATTACTAATACGAGTAGAAACCAAAGACTGACG